TCCTTACCGGCGACAGAAAAATGAAATATAGACTTATTAGAAACTTGCTGATTTAAAGCATACATACGAAAGTTGTAAAATCCCATTTTCCATACCCTCTTTACTTTTCCAAAGACCTACCCCGACAACTTCTTTTGTTAGGCGCTCTTTTTTCCTAATCTAACGTTTCTCCTTTTGTATTAATTCATTCTTTCTCCGCAAAAATAACTGCTAGCCTTTCTTTTCGATTTCTTCCCGCCTTTGACTAAATTTAGAATGTTGATTTTTAGTTATCGTTTGAGCATCCATTAAGACCAAATTACGTTTATCAAGTGCAACAGGAATAGACAGCTCCTCATACAAACATGCGCCTCACACGATCTCGCCATCACCAACACCATGTTCCGTCTGCCAACCCGCAACAAGACATCATGGATGCACCCGCGGTCCAAGCACTGGCATCTAATCGACTACGTCATCGTCAGGGCAAAAGACCGGAGGGGCGTAAGATTGGTCAAGGTCATGTGTGGAGCAGAATGCTGGACTGACCACCGGCTCATCACTGCCAAAATGAACCTCTCCACCCAACAAAAGAGACGACCACATGGCCAGAAAGTGTTGAAGAAATTGAACGCCAGGAAACTCGAGGACAAGACGACAACCCAAGACTTCCAGTCTCGGATGTCCTTCAGTCCGGCTGCCCCTCAGTCCAGCATCGAAGAGCTGTGGGCAGAATCCAGGGACACTATCCACCGCATCGCCCTCGAAACTCTCAGACCAGTCACAAGAAACCACCAAGACTGGTTCGACGAAAACGACCAGGAAGTTGAGAAAATCTTTGAAGAGAAATGTCACCTGCTGCGGGCCCACCAAAACGACCCGACATGCATGGCAAAGAAGGCTGCCTTCAACAACATTCGCTCCTCGGTTCAAACAAAACTACGTCTCATGCAGGACAACTGGCTAAGCGCCAAGGCAGACGAGATCCAAAGCTATGCAGACAGACACGACACAAAGAGTTTCTACGATGCGCTGAAGACAGTGTATGGAACACAACACTCCAGATCATCCCCTCTACACAGCTTGGACGGAACTACACTCCTGACCGACAAGAAGCTGATCTTGGAGAGATGGGCAGAACACTTTAGCAGCGTACTCAACGAGGTCGCCATTGCCCGCCTACCTCAGGTGCCGACGAACCACGATCTAGACACCCCTCCAACAACTGGAGAAGTATGCAAAGCTATCAAGCAGATGTCGACCGGTAAAGCTCCAGGATCCGACGCCATACCAGCAGAGGTGTACAAGTCAGGTGGCCCATTCATGACCAATCAGCTCACCAGTCTGTTTCAATCAATGTGGACGAAGGGCCAACTGCCCCAAGAGTTCCCCGATGCAACAATCGTTCATATATACAAACGGAAAGGAAATCGCCGGGACTGTGACAACCACAGAGGCATCTCCCTCCTGTCCATAGCAGGCAAGATATTGGCCCAAATCCTACCCTCAATCGCTTGCTGAAACACCTAGAGCACGGCCTTCTCCCAGAGAGCCAGTGTGGCTTCCGTGCTGGACGATTAACCACGGACATGATCTTCGCTGCTCGCCAGCTTCAAGAGACATGTGTCGAACAGAACCGCGAGCTATACACGACATTCGTCGACCTCACCAAGGCCTTTGACACGGTCAGTCGGAAAGGTCTCTGGAAGATCATGGAGAAATTTGGCTGTCCCGGCAAGTTCATCGAAATCGTCCGTCAGTTCCACGACGGAATGACTGCCAGAGTCCTTGAAGACGGCGATCCATCTGAAGCCTTTCAGGTGACCAACGGTGTCAAGCAGGGCTCCAACACTATTCAACATCATGTTCTCAGCCATGCTGTTCGATGCGTTCAGAGACTGCAAGACCGGCATCGACATCCTTTTCAGGACAGATGGAAAACTGTTCAACACCAAGAGATTGCAGGCTGCCACAAAGGTAAAAGAGACTACTATCCGAGAACTCCTCTTCGCGGACGACTGTGCCATCAACACGCACGATGAGAGAGAGATGCAATGCCAAATGGACCGTTTCTCGGCGGCCTGTGACAACTTCGGTCTCACGATCAGCACGAAAAAAACCGAGGTGATGCATCAGTCAGCCCCTGGAAATCAGCACTTTGACCCGCAGATTGAAGTAGACGGACAAACTCTCCAATCCGTAGAGAAGTTAACCTACTTGGGCAGCATCCTCTCTAGCAGCGCCAACATCGATGATGAGATCAACAACAGAATCTCCAAGGCGAGCAGCGCATTCGGGGGACTGCGAGAGAAAGTCTGGGGCCGGAGAGGTATCAGTCTCAAGACAAAGCTTAAGGTATACAGGGCGGTTATCCTTACCACTCTATTATACGGCTGCGAGACCTGGACTACCTATCGAAGACACGAGCGGCAGATCGAACGCTTCAACCTCAAGTGCCTCCGGAACATACTCCACATTCGCTGGCAAGATAAAGTCCCTGAAACGGATGTCCTGGAACAAGCCGAAATGCCCAGCGCAACCACCTCACTGCACAAGGCACAGCTGCGATGGTCTGGTCACGTGTGCCGCATGTCCGAAGACAGAATCCCCAAGCATCTCCTCTACGGGGAGCTTTGTCAAGGAAAACGAAATGTCGGCCGACCGAAGAAGAGATTCCGGGACAATCTGAAAGCGGCTCTGAAAGATTTTGCTATCAACTCAGAGACATGGGAACAGACGGCTGCGGACGGCCCTTCGTGGCGCTCAACCATCTGCAAAGGGGCAAAGACAGCAGAATACAGCTGAACGCACCTAGCCAGGCAGAAGCGGCAGGTGCGTAAAGCTTCGAACAACACAAACAAGTCCCCCTCCCAATTCTGCCAAATCTGTGGGAGAGGCTTCCTCGCCCGGATCGGCCTCGCCAGCAGAAGACAGCCGAACGCACCTAGCCAGGCAGAAGCGGCAGGTGCGTAAAGCTTCGAACAACACAAACAATTCCCCCTCTCACTTCTGCCAAATCTGTGGGAGAGGCTTCCTCGCCCGGATCGGCCTCGCCAGCCATCTCCGGGTCCATAGCTGATGATGACGATGTGATTGTCAAATGGTCATCTTCGAATCGAAGGACGAACAACAACAACACGTTTATCAAGTGAAAGGTTTATAAGCCATTCGTCAGATTTATACATTTTATATAAAATGGACGCTTCGTTGCCAAAAATATAAGACGAGGGCACGATCCTCGTTAATCTATCGAGATGACTGAACATGGTTTCCGGTAATTTATTGTGAGGCATGGCAGAACTCGAGCACGAAGGATTAAAGTCATCTCGATACTCCAGTAAAATTTTTGCAATGTACTTTCTTAACTCGGCAAAGAGGACTTCCAAAACTTGGATCAGGGTTGAATTAAGAGTTAAATCAAAATTAAATTTCGTCAGGTTAGCAATTAAGGACCGAATCATTTTCAATTTTGATTAGATATTCAAATGGGCGTGATTTGCCTTCAACAAAGTTTTGAATATTCATGTTTTCGAAAAAATCATGTAATTTCTGATAAATAGTTTTCATGTCAAGTGCATTAATGTCGCTTTCTAATAGTCCCGCGACGGCCAAACATGCGGTTATAAACGCGTTGACGTTCCTGTCGGTTTTTTAGTTGCAGTACCAAATTATGGCATTCTGAAGTGTATCTTTGATTTTCGACATCATACAAAATTACTTCATCCCCACGAGGTTAGGATTTACAACCATGTTTTTTTTATTTGGCAAAACTTTATTATTATTAGCCTTCGCGCGAAACGATTCTTTTGAGGTTTTCCTTAGTCGATTTTTAAGCGGAAAATTGTTTTTGTATACCTATTGATCCGTCTTAATAAATTCCTATTTTTCCTACTTAACTTGGTCAAAGTCGCAGCATCGACGGATTTCTGTGTCTCTCTATTTATTAAATGTATCGGGGGGAAAAGGGGCTGTCGAGATAATCGTCATATAATTTAATGATTTATTAGAATTATTTATATTTTTACCCAACTTCCTAGTCTTTGTCTTCAGTCTGATCAGCCTACTTAGAATATCTTTGTCATCAAGCATCACGTAGTCGTCATGTAAAACAGTAATTACAGACTGGTGCTCCATATTGGTCGAAAATTTATTAATAATGCCTAGTACTAGCGTATTTGTAATTCTTGCAAAGGAAAGTTGAGTTATTGTACTGAGATCACAGTGATCGCCTAATGCTGGATAGTAATTCATCGTTGGACGCCATGCCTACTAATAGTCGTTCAATTCCTAAACAAATTAAAAAGATTTGTTTCCTCTTAACACTAAAAGCCAATAGTTTCGAACAGTAAATCTGGTCAACCGAGACTACCCTTCGTTTCGATTAATTCCCGGTAGCAAATTTAAAATACGAAACAATTCATTAATTATTTTAACTTGGCAACACTCGTCTTAGGCAATTCAACGAAGATTTTAGGAACCTTGCAAAATTAAAAGAAAAATACGGGTTGTATTCTTATCTTGCCTAACACGAGTGTTTGGGAGATGTGAAATCGCCGAAACTAAACGACAGCACTCTGTACACTGAAAAAAAACTTGTGTTGGATCTCAACACAAGTACTTGTGTGAAAATTATTCTACACAAAACTTGTGTTGTTTTGCATTGCATTAACACAAACTTGTGTTCTTTTTAATGCATTAACACAAATCTTGTGGTTTTTTCATATAATTAACACAAGTAATGTATAGACCGACATTTGTATTTTTAAAAACTGAACTCCATGCAAAGTCTTAATTCGGGGGTCCACAAGAATAAGAAAAGTATTTGTTTTACTCAGACAATATAGCCAGACAGACTTGAATGCTAATTGGTGTTTAGATGTCTGTAGTTAAAATAAAGTTGTTGATTAATTTATTGTCCCAATACACTGGTAGATTAAAGGAATGCATAATAGGCCTGGTGAGCATGCCAGGTGTGATTTTAACAATTGACTCCAAATGCGTTGACAAGAAAATGGGTAAAACTCTCATTTATGTAATTGGTTGATAAAATCAACGTACTATAGTCTACATTTTGTCTGCGATATCACCTCGGTGGAAGCGGGCGTTCAATAAAGCTATTTCACACACATACATTTACCATTAACAGCGTGCTGAAATAATTTTTGAGTCGTGATATGATTCACAAATATAATGGTCACAGACAGAGAATACAAGACCGCAGGTTTGTAAATAGTTATTAAAAAAATAATACCATGTATCTAATTTAGCATCGATATTTGTTTCTATGTATATTAGTATTTCGTTTCCTAAAAAAAACTCCCCTGTAGTTCATGTTTACCGCGGGTACAGTGAAAAGAATTTCGGCATGTTATAATTGAATCTGTCTAATTTTTCTGAAATCGTGCTTAAAGATGGGTTCCCAGAAAAGTATTTATCGGGTGGTTTTTTCCAATAAAGGTGTGGCAATTTTGGTATGTATGGAAAGTAGAAACATCCAATCTTACAGGAAAAATACTGGATTCCCTGAAAAACACCCATGGGGCAAGCACTGGGCAAAAATGTCACAGAAATTACTTAGGCTTTGATATTTATGGTAAATGGACAGCGATTAAATATAAACAAGCTTGTTGAGTGTTGGTAAGTAAGCTATGGCTTCCACTTTTGCTTTCGAGTTTTTAATCAGATAAGGCTGGTACTACGAGTACGTAATAGTGGATTTCGTTTGAGATATAGGGACCTAATTATTGAAGTATGTTAATGTTTGTTTTCTAAAGAGCATTTTGTTTTTATCTCGGCTGATTTATGAACTGGCTGTCAAATGAGGTTGACGATTCTCGTTTGCAAGATGTCAGAACCAAAAAACTAAACACTGACTCTTACTCTTTTCACTTTTTGGGCCATGTGATTCCAAGTGAACCACTTAATTCTCTTTCACCATAGGCCTGTCGACAGCTAAAATATTTTAAGGTCCATGACTGTATCTAATGGACAATTTTGATGCAATTATTACTAACAAATATCCGTACTTCCCAGAACTTCATAAAATAATGAAATAAGTAAAATAGGCATATATAAATTTTAGGAACCATCACAAGAAAGAAGGTAGTTGTGAGTAGTTGTGAGAGAGTTCTACACGACACAAGCTCAACATGTTCATCAAGTGAACCACTTAATTCTCTTTCACCATAGGCCTGTCGACAGTTAAAATAGTTTAAGGTCCATGACTGTATCTAATGGACAATTTTGATGCAATTATTACTAACAAATATCCGTACTTCCCAGAACTTCATAAAATAATTGAATAAGTAAAATAGGCATTTATAAATTTTAGGAACCATCACAAGAAAGAAGGTAGTTGTGAGTAGTTGTGACACAAGCTCAACATGTTCATCAAATGTAAGTGTTGTGACCCTACTAATTTCGTAAGATATTGCAATATATAGTTATTTTATTTATATTCATTGTAGATCTACATTCCTTTGTTTGGTTGTTCATTTTCAAAAATGTATTCCATTATCTATTCTATTTTACTCTGATTAAAGAAAGTGAGGCGGACAATGAGTCAAGATTACATACTATCCTAGGGACACCTGTCAATATTTCTAAACTGGTCAGTCCAGAATGTATAATAAGCAATATTTTGTATTACAGGACTGGAAATTCATCTTATAATCGTGTATTTCTGGGGTTGAACAACTGTCACAGGAAGCAGAATTGCTCTCATTTTATGAGTACAATGTATAAAGAAAAAGCAACAGACAAATCTTTCATTGAGTAAGTATTGAACGAAGCAGTCGCAACAATAGTTACGTCCAGCATAGTGAATTATGGCTTAGTGTCTATGAATAATGGTGCTTTCTTTTATCTATGACAGGTGGTAATTAGTTTATTATCCATAATGTCTGTAAATATGCAAATTAATACCAGATTTTACATCTAATGTAGGTTTGTGCTTTCTGTGTATTGTGTAATTGTGCAGTCCCCCTGCACTTACTATTAATTATTGATATATTTTTTTAGAACATCGGAAGATGCCTCAAATGATCAAGCTGAGTAGTGATGATAAGACAATGATATTGACAGTCAAGATAGGGTCAACTTGAAATGTCTTTAAATGTACGTATACAAGTATAGAAATATCATTGTTTTCGGATCTCACCGGAGTCGTCCCTGGTCTCGGGTCAGTTTTAAATGTGTCTTCACTAGCCTGGATGCAATGAAATTTAACATTTTTTTACAATGAGAAAAATTATGACTTTTAATTAGGATATTTTATTTTAGACATACTGGTGTATTAGAAAACTGCCACCAACATATTTTAAAGTAGCTAAGTCTCTAACTCAATATCATCCAAAGTCTTTGACATTGAAAACACAAATTATTTGTCGATTTAAATTAACATTGATGTTGTGATCTTACTGGGAAAAGATTGGCTTCTGATATCCAATATTTAAGACAAAATAAACATTTTACCATTGGTACACGAATCGTGTTCTAGTATGTGTTTCAGGCCCATTATTAACAAGGAACTCAAAGAACGAGGCTAGACATATTCCAAAAGTCATGTCAAACAGTGATGACATATTCATATCTGATAATCTTTAAGAGGCATTTAGTAACTGGGTAGAGCAATACACAAAAAACACATACTTATGGAAAAACAGCTACTTATTTATTTGGGCGACGTTTCGAAGAGTATTCTCTCAACGTTATCAAGCTAATACAGTAATACAAGAATTATGAGATCAATATATACAGAAAACTGTAACAACAATTCATGAAACCATACAGGACAACAACAAGATCAAAGGGGTTTATTCTACAAAAAACTAATTAAGTGTGAAGAGTAGCCATTGAGTATAGTTAAGCAATTAGGTAGCTATGATGATAGATACAATACTACCGACAGAATGGGATAGTACCTACAATACAATTATGATATACCATGGTTTGTTTAGATAAGGGTAATTAACTTTATATGTCTGTGTGATTAAATGTACAATTAGACTAGAGTAACCCAAATGTTGTAATAAATCTAACAAATAGAGTGGATATAACTGATAAATTGATAATAATATTAGAAAAATGAAAAATAATAAAACTCATAAAAATTCACAAAGGTTTCTTATCCACTGTACTGTAGAATGAGTGGGGGTGATGGAAAACACATAATTTAGGTATATTTAATAAGTTCATCATAAGCACTAGGCAGGAATATCCCTGTGTCGCGGTTGAGGTCTGGACTGTTTCTTTTAATGTGTATGGCCTCAATAATTTTGCGGGTTTTTTCTATCGGTAGATGTTCTCAGAGAGACTACTCGTTCCAACCAACTAAAGAAGTTCGAAAACCTTAAAACCACAAAACCTGTTATTCCTACTACCAAAATAGCCAAAGATGAATACTTAACGAAAACAGTCATCAACCTCAGCAGTCGGAATCTAAGCGATGATCAGATCACACTCCTAAGTAAAGGACTAAAGTTTGTGCCATCCCACCGATCTGCCAACCAAGACCTTCTAATTGCGAATATCGAAAGAGGGTTGAGACAGCTGGCACCCGGTGGAAAGATTGACTCCCTGAGACATCAAATTACCGATCTGATAACGAAATCCAAGATGCGACGAGGTGCCCACAACCTGAACAAGTCCCAAAACACCGCCCTGCAGGAGCTGAAGAAAGACCATAACATCACAATAGTAGCTGCTGATAAAGGGAAATCCACTGTTATAATGGATAAGACTGACTATCTCAACACGGTATCTCATCTACTGGCAGATAAAGCCACCTACAGGAGGATTAGGAAAGATCCCACCCATAGCTATAGCGATAAACATACTGCCCAGTTATTGAACCTGAAAGAACAAGGAAGACTTACCAACCCGTTATTCTACAAGCTCAAGCCATCTCATCCCAGACCTCCATATGCCAGAGCCACGATTAAAACCCACAAGAATCCTATTAAAGCCAGACTCCTAGTATGCTCCAGAGACTCTGTATTTTATAATACAGCGCAACACCTGTCTAAACTCCTCTCCCCATTAGGTAAAGAAGCCCCTTCGTTCATAAAAGACTCTAAAGATTTCTGCGAAAAACTACAGGACCAACCACAAGACATACAGATTCTATCGTACGATGTCATCAATCTTTTCACTAATATTCCTCGAGATGAAGCCATTGAAGCACTACGCCACAGATTATCTTCCCTAGAGAACCCACTTGACACCAACCTCAGCACGGAAGACATCATTAGCCTCACTAAATCCTGCATTGATTCCACCTACTTTTCCTGGGGAGATGATTTTTACGAGCAAGTACATGGATTACCCATGGGAAGCCCTTTGTCTCCAGTCCTCAGCGAGATCTATATGACTAGTTTTGAAAAGGATGCCCTATCCACTTCACCGGTTCAACCTACAGCTTGGCTTCGTAAGGTAGATGATATTTTTGTCATTCTCAAACAGAATGAAGACCCCAACCTCCTCCTCATCCACCTCAACAACCAAAATAACAGAATAAAATTCACGATAGAAAAAGAACAGCACCAATCCCTCCCGTTCCTGGATGTCCTAGTTAAGAGATCTGCTGACAAACTAAATATAGAAAGCCCACACATACCAACCAGTACATCAATTATAAGTCGAATCATCCGCACAGCGTAAAGAAAGCTACTGTATCCACTTTAGCGCGCAGAGCCGTGAACATCTGCGACAAAGACTACATCGGAGCAGAACTTGATCACATTGAAACATCTCTACCAACTTCAATAACTACCCCCGACAATTAGTGCAGAAAATCATCAAAGCCACCACCAATCCTCCTACAGATATAAGCAAACCTAAACCAGATAAACCACCAGTGATAATAACAATACCTTTTCAAGGCAAACTATCGTACCACCTCAGAAGACTCTTAACCCCAACAGGCATCCAGGTAACATTTTCCAAAGGAAGTACTCTCAAAGATCTCATGAAGGCCAGTGGCGAACTTCCCCCAACCAAACAACTGAACCCAAAAGAATGTGTTTATGAAATAACCTGCACGTGTGACAAAAAATACATCGGAGAAACAAGACAGCCTTTAAACAAGAGAATCAGTCAGCATAAATCTAAATCCTCTACTACCAATTCAGATGTGGCCCAACACACACAATCCAACCCAGGGCACAGAATTAAAACGTATAGAACCCTGGCGGCCAACCTACCGATAGAAAAAACCCGCAAAATTATTGAGGCCATACACATTAAAAGAAACAGTCCAGACCTCAACCGCGACACAGGGATATTCCTGCCTAGTGCTTATGATGAACTTATTAAATATACCTAAATTATGTGTTTTCCATCACCCCCACTCATTCTACAGTACAGTGGATAAGAAACCTTTGTGAATTTTTATGAGTTTTATTATTTTTCATTTTTCTAATATTATTATCAATTTATCAGTTATATCCACTCTATTTCTTAGATTTATTACAACATATGGGTTACTCTAGTCTAATTGTACATTTAATCACACAGACATATAAAGTTAATTACCATTATCTAAACAAACCATGGTATATCATAATTGTATTGTCGGTACTATCCCATTCTGTCGGTAGTATTGTATCTATCATCATAGCTACCTAATTGCTTAACTATACTCAATGGCTACTGTTCACACTTAATTAGTTTTTTGTAGAATAAACCCCTTTGATCTTGTTGTCCTGTATGGTTTTATGAATTGTTGTTACAGTTTTCTGTATATATTGATCTCATAATTCTTGTATTACTGTATTAGCTTGATAACGTTGAGAGAATACTCTTCGAAACGTCGCCCAAATAAATAAGTAGCTGTTTTTCCATAAGTATGTGTTTTTTGTGTAATATTCATATCTGGAGAGTATGTAGACTAGAATAACAAGACGCTAGAGATTGTCATTTGATTGAGACTTCTGGCGTATTTCGCCGAACATACCTGATTTGAAATTAGAGTAAAAAGGGAAACGATTGAATGTAAATCAGTTTATATATACATTCATATTACATTATTATATGCGCTGTGACCCATTTGTGTCAACTTCTAGGTCCCAAGTATTAGCGATTTAGCTCATTTAATGTACGCTACAAAAATATTTTCAAATACCAGCGACACAAGGACATGATATGGAGTAGGGTTGATTATCTATCCATCGTGGCTTTTGTTTCAGTCCCCCTTTTTCCTCCCACTGCTACTGACAACATAGTACCTTATTTAGTCCAGAAATGACATAGTTTGTATCAAGTGGGTGCTAACCCCCTGTCCACCTGCATTCCTGGCAAAACAAAATACAACTTGTTATTCCAAATACTCTTTTTAATTGTCAATACAATATATTACAAAATTTTACAGATTTCACAGACTGTATTCGAAAAGAACAAAATACTTGGAGTGTGGTTCCTGTAAAAGTGGAGAAAGAATATGAATATATGGTTGATGGTTGATATACTTAGTGGAATACTGGATCAAATTAAAAGTCACCAGGGTCCAATCCCTCAAGTATTTCAATAAACTTGCAGATGATGATCCCAGGAGTATAAAAAGAAATAGTGCAGCTGTGACACCTCCAACAACAAAGGAACTTCTTGCAATAATAAATTGAGATTTGGATAGTAAATTGTACTAAATGTTAAAATTAGAATTTCCTAGATATTTATCATTAATCGTACAGGTAGATAGTTGGATTATCCGGTTCACCCCTATTACTGGTATCTATTACTGTGTCGAAAATGCATAAAGTGTCCAGTTGCACGCATTTGTTGGATACGCATTAGTAACACAACTTGGGACAACTCTTCTAATGCCGGTACCAAGATATCTATGCTTCCAAAATGTGGAATTTCTGTATGCTGTATATCTTGCTGTTTCGTTGTAGTTTACCATGTCTACCCATCACATCTCTAAAGTAATCATTCGAAATGGCTAAAACATTTTGATCCATTTCCTGCAGAAGAAATATTTACATAGATATTTAATATGAAATAGTTTTGTTTACTTATTTTGTATAACAAAAATTCTAAATGCATACGATTTTATTGTGAATACTGATTTTTATTTATTATAATGCTTTGCACTTACAATTATGTGAAAATACAAAAAGCTGGTTGGCATCCACAGCAAACACATTCTATATCCACTTCCATCTCTACAGTAGTTACAAACACACCAGTCAGGTGAACTCTACCTGGTGCTTGAGTCTTGTATCAACAGCATTTATAGTTAGTTGTCTGTAAATAAAATGTTGTGTTGTTTAATTACTCTGGAAATTTTTGAGCACCTTTAAATCTAGGGTATTTGTTAAAAGTTTAATAAAATGTATAAACCTTACTATAAGTTGTTGTCTTCTATTTTCCATTCGTCCAGTTAATCTTTGTCTGTCGTCCTCCAAAACTGATTTTCTTGGTGTGCCTCTTGCCCTAGATGTAGAAATACTTGTAGAAACCCCAAAGGTTGGACAGACGACTCGTGTCACGCACATGTCACACATGTGGGGTCGACACCATGTCATTTAACTCAATGGCCGACCTTATGTTCTAAAGCATACATATTAGAATCTCCTGCCCCCTGATGAGGAATATCTTGAAAATAAATATATCAATATTATCTTATAAATTTTGTTACAAAAGGGAATATTGAGCATTTGGGAAGTCTACATTACAGTCTTGTGCACATTGAATAATAAACCAAAGAATGAAAATTTATCTATTATTTTAAGGGACAGGTGTTAAAAATTGGAATACTCCCAAACAAAAAAAATAGTAGCTATGTCCATATAGGCCTATTGCAGGAATTTCTACCAGACAGGCCCTTCCAAGTTATAATATCGCGTTATGAAAGAGTGCTATCATGATATTTGTTCTTGTTAACTGTTAACTGACATTAGTGTAGTGACAGTGATTTTTTCGGTAAGCTATAATAATCCCATATCCAATTCCAGACGTCTGTGTACAAGAAGGAGTCTTAATTTTAACAATAAAGTAAATTTTAATTACCATTGAACTTTCACTTTCCATAGTTCGTTTTCTTTTTGTGTAATCTGTGTTGACGGCCGCATAAATCCCCCACCTCGGTTCAACACGTCCAGATATGTATGCAGCGACCATAGAGCTTCCCCACGTCGGCTCAACACGTCCAGATATGTATGCAGCGATCATAGAGCTATATATAGAAACATAACTCTACGGCATCGATACACATCGTCTTCAACGAATTCTCCCTCGGCCATGTCACGGGACAAACATGGACTCTTAAAATAGGTTTTTATCCCGTATGGGATTTGAAGCAAATTTTTGATGGATTAATTAGTTTGAATATGCCTTTAGTCCAAATATATCACCAAATCACCTAGTTTGTACACGGGAATGTATCTTTAATTAACATTAGTTGTTCAGCGGTACGATGTTGTTCAAATACTCATATTACAGAATCACATTAAACCAGAAACGGCTCGACTTCAGCCAGCCAGCAGGTAAGAATCTATTTTGAAATTATACCTAGGTAAGGCGGATTGATTTGGCGGGGGAAGACCCGATTGGCGGACATCCTGATTCTTGTTTCATGATTTTTTTATAAACATTTGGGCAAGAGTAGACATAAACCCGGGCACGGACTAGAAAATAACTTTTTACACTTTTGTGTTAGTTGAAATGCTACCTAATTTCTATTTAAAAAAAAAACAAAACAAAAAATAAAAAAACTCCCCCCCCCCTACACACGCCGTTCAATTTCTGTGCAATATTATTTCACTGATTTAATCACAGTTAATAAATGATAGAACTAGAATCGAGTCTGTGGAAGTTTCTCTATAGTTTCATTATTTTTTCCATTTCCACCTGCCAGTTTTAAGCAATTATTGAGAATTGACCGCAAGGACTCCATTATCGAAAAACTGGTAACGATTTCATTTTATTTTTATATTTTCTTTTTTTTTATTACCAATGTCCTACAATTATTAGTGTATGTGAAGATAAAGTATTTATATGGCACTTATATACAAGTATGCAACAGAGAGAGAGGGAAATGACATAAACAAGGCCTTACATGTACTTGTATTTGTCGAATCAAGTAGTCCAAGATGTGTATCTATTTCCTATGCATACCGGTAATCAACTACGACGGGTAGCCTACTTCCGTTTCCACCTTCTCCCCGCATAGTGCCCCATTCTAGATGTATTAAGAATAATTGGTATGTTGTGTAATATTAATTCTGCATGAAGAGTTGTTGTAGGATGGGTCCTTATCTCCTTACTGGCGCTAGGTCGTTTCGGGACTAAGGTATGGTTAAATTTAAAGGAGCTAAATCGCTAATATATGGGACCTAGAAATTGACAAAAATGGGTCGCAACGCATATAATAATGTCATATGAATGTATATAAACTGATTTAAATTCAATCGTTTCTGTTTTTACTGTAATTTCTAATCAGTTATGTTCGGCGAAATACGCCAGAAGTTTCATGTGAATGGCAATTTTTAGCGTCTGGTTTTTCCAGTCTACACCGATGGTATTTATTGCGCATGCTCTCCAGATAAGAATATAGCGTCACCATTTGACGTGACTTGTGGAATATGTCTAGCCCTGTTCTTTGAGTTCCTTGTTCCAAATGGCACTGAAACGCATTATGGTACACGATTCGTGCACCAATGGTAAAATGTTTATTTTGTCTTGAATATTGGATATCAGAAGCCCATCTTTTCCCTGTAAGATCACATGACCAATGTTGATTTGAATTGAAAAATAATTCGTGTTTTCAATGTCGAAGATTTTTGATGATATTGAGTAGGGGTATTTAGCAAAAGGAGGGAACCAAATAAAGGACCCAGTGAAAACTCAAGAGGTTGGACAGGCGACACTTCTCCTTGAAATCGAAACCATGCCACTTGACACAATGACAGACCCTGTGATTTCATGTGCATGCATTAAACCACTAGACCATTCCCACACCCTACCCCATATCGAATAAAAGTATGGCTTATTTAAAATATGGCTTATTTGCATATAAAGAAAGTAGAAACTTCAATCTTCCTGAAATGAAATGAGGTTTAACGTCTTCCTGAAATGAAATGAGGTTTAACGTCCTGCTGTTGAGATCCGACTGGCCTAATGCAGTGTGCTAAGAGAAAAAATTTGCCTGAGCAGCGGCACTATGGCCAACTCTCATATCGAATTCCAACTGCCAAGGGAACTTTTATGTGTACGCCAATGTGTACATTGGACCTCGGGGGGGGGGGGGGAACCAGGCCTCCAGGCTACCATGCCATTGCCTAACTCATTCAGCTACAATGGCCATCTGTTAATTACCGCGACAGTGAAATCATGTGACAAACAAGGATTATTAAAATAGATTTTTACGGCTTAAGTAGTTCCTTGAGATTAAAACTTTTGATACATATAGATACATAAGTTTTAATTTAATATCACACAGTTTGTATATGGTATCTTTAAAGGTTAATTCCATGTCCTGTATTATTTTTTCAGTTTCAATATTGGATGCATACGCAAATCACCCAGAAAAAGATCATACAATAAAAGAAATGAAATAAAAAAGAAATGGAAGAAGAAATGGCTGAAAAAATGATAGGGCAGCTTGATCTAGGTGGGTAACTATTCAATTAGGTATGGGCCTGAGGGGCCCAGGTCCCTGTGGTTTAGGGGGCCCCGCGGTTCATGGCAAAAAGAGAAAAAATTCAAATTCCAGAGGAAAGTTTCACGGAAATTGATCTAAAGGCGCGAGGGCGGAGACTGAGCTATCCCTCAACCTTCTCTGTGAAGTTCCATTCGGAACTGAATAGACTTCGTATATGATCATGTATTATGTAATTATTCTTGTATTACAGACCGTTTAATTGTGTGTTTCGCATGCGTGTCATTCAAAAGGATATTAAATAATCTTTTCGTCACGTTAGGGTCTCCGCAATTCTAGTCAGGCCCAGGGCCCCCCTCCGATTAAGCTGGGCTTTGCATGAAATAAAACAAATGTAATTAAATTAACATTTTTAAACTAAATCAAAACTGTCTAGTAAATTTAAGCCAAATAATACATAGCATATATCTTTTTTCAGTTATCCACCTCGGAAGATCAAGACTGTTGGAAATGGCTAATGATATTGTGGAAGCGTTTTCTCACAGAGCTTGCTAATCAGACAAAGACTATGTAAGTACCATGCATAATTGTTTTTGAATCAGGAACTGGTTCTATACACTTGGTAATCTAGTTCTTCTTTTTGGAGCAATGTCTAGGGCTCTGCCATTTTAAATACGATCAACATGAAACTCAGGAGACTTGTTTGGTTGATTTTGATATATTACGTCAAAACTAAAAGATGGATGCAATGGTACACCCTTTCATAACAAATATTATAAAGCGTTCAAATGCATGAGTTTGTAAAATGAAAATAATTTCATATTATAATACTGTTTGCAATACAGTATTCACAATTGCCTTAGTGGAGCTAATTGATAAATCAAATGATTATTTTTTCATTGTTATTATCATTGGCTTCTGACCCATTGAGACATAATAATCCGCCTGGGTCTGTAATTGGAAAAGGCACAATAAGTATTATGCAAAGTTGAAACAATAGAGAATCAACATGTGACAAAATGAGTTGTTTATTTAAATATTCTGAACCATAGAAAGTATATTTATTGCCCACTACAATGTATAATATTATTTTTTTCAGACTAGAGAGCATTTGATGTATGATAACAACAAGGGAACTCAACTATATACCTTTTGAATATTAAGCCATTAAATTATTTTATAATTTTGAAAAAGAGTGTAATGATTGTAAATGCTAATAAGTTATCTGTTGCATTTGGCTTGTTATTTAAATATTTTATTTTTGTTTTTAATGTTAAATATCCTTCCCAAACACAATTATATATTAATTCTCTCCAGAAATTTATGTAAAATATAGACTGTAAAGTGACCTATAAATCACTTAGAATTTGATCGGAAATCATAAAGTATTAAATAGGCATTATCTCGAAACCAAATGCAGATCGAATATACAAAGAATTATAAAAAAAAAACCTTTAGGTACATTAAGGTGACTTTCCTTATGAAATGAAATGCGATTTAACATCCTACTTTTCTATGTTATGAGGGTATTTCTGCCCTGGTAGTTAAGGTGACTTTCCCTTGCTTATAAAATAAAGGGGCGGGGCGAATGGTTAGGACGTGCGGGCTGTATCATAAGGGTTGTCATTGGGTAAACTGGCGTGATTTCGATTCCCCGGTTGTACGTGACAAGGAGTAGGGTGCCTGTCCAACCTCGTGGGTTTTCTTTGGGTCGTCCGGTTTCCTCTCACTGGTAAAGACCTTTATGCACAATCGAATTATCGGAATAAAATTGAACAATATATTAGTCCCGAAATAACCTGGTTTTGTGTCGAGTGGATACTCACTGAACCACCATGGCTTCCCTTGCTTATGACTGGTATATAAATAGTTTGTACATTTGTACAAGTCTCTTATATTTCATTTGTATGTAGTTTTTCAGTTTTTGTGCATAATTAATGTCTTTAGTGCTTGTTTTGACTATTTAGGGGGCATGGGTTAGGGATATTGTGTACATATCTATTAAATTCTCATTTCTTTTTAAGGGGTGACTTTTAGAAAAGAAATAAAAAAATAAAATAATTAAGTTTGTTTTTATTTTTGGTGGGGTGGGGGGATATGTTGTTATTATATTATATTATAATAACACAATTTTATTAGTATTGGAATTAACTTTGTTTATTAGTATTCCAAATGTCTCGTGCTTGTTTTGAGATTTTTTTTTCAATTTTAAAAGCTATGTTTATTTTATGATTTGTTTGTTTATATTTTTTTTATTTATTTATTTTTTTTATTTATTTATTTTTTTTTTTTTTTTTTTTTTTTTTTTTTTGGGGGGGGGGGGGGGTATTTTTTCATTATATATCACAATTTTATTAGTATTGGATTTACTTTGTTTTTATTACCCATCAAAATGTCTGTTTATGTCTGTGATGTGAAGATATATTTGGACTAAAAGCATAATCAAACTAAATTTTTCTTCAACTTCAAATCCCTCTTAAAACATTGTATTCGCGAGGAAATACTCCACGCAATTGAAATGTATTAAAAGAAGTCATGTTTGTCAGTTTGTGTCACGTGACTTAGCTGACGCGGCACCATCGCATGGAACATATGACGTCGCGTATGCGTAGGATGGGAGGGATAGCGTTTTACCTCAAAACGAATTGCAAAAGAAACTAATAAAGTTTGGTTCAATGATACATATATCAGAAAACATCATACTCAAATTCGGCCATGGCGAAATTAACATAATTCAATATGGCGGTCTTCAACAAGGTTCGGCGTGTTTTAGATGTGGGAGAATAACTCTTTTTTTAAAAACTTCAAACATGCGATAAGAGGCGAAATGAGCTGAAATAACGAATTGGATCAAAAGAAACCCCCTCAAAAAATGTATTTTCATGACAGCTCTTTCGTAAGATGACTTTTAGCTATAAGGTTTTCGACGTGCCTGAAGTTAAAGATATTTTTTTTCCTATTGGATATGTCATTTATATGGTTTTCGGTGTCGCTGCACTGAAAAAACACTTGTGTTGGATCTCAATACAAGTACTTGTGTTAAAACTAATCTACACAAGGTATGTGTTGTTTTGCATTGCATTAACACAAACTTGTGTCGATTTATAAAATCTTGTGTGTTTTTTCATATCATTAACACAAGTAATGTGTATCGTCCACGATTTGTTTTCTTTTTTTAAAAAAAAAATCCATACAAAGTCTGAATTCGGGAGTCGACAAGTTTAAGAAAAGTAATAAAGGACTTAATTCACATCCCGAAAATAACATGCTGTTCTTCACTGGATGGGTGTGAGTATCAATTAATCAGACTTGTGTTCTTTTCAATGTCTTAACACAAACTTGTTTAGATTTACAAAATCTTGTGTGTTTTTTTGTTTTTCATATAATTAATTACGTCAAATTTTAAGATAACATTTATTTTGTTACTTTATTATCTGTAATAATGTTATTTTTTTAAAACAATCAATATTGTTATTGAGAAAATCTGAATGGAATCTGGTAACTGGCTTAGCCTATGTAAAACATCTTTTTCTGAATTTGAATGTTCAGGAATTCATTCCAATTTTAACTTGATTTCTAGAATATTTGTATTTGTCTAAAACCTTATATTGATTATCACACACGTTAAGTAGATATCGCAATGTTGGGTGTCCGCAATGTTAATTAGATTATTCTGATTATATCCTTTGTTTATTTTCAAATCTAGTCCCAGACAATACACAGACACAGTTGGGTTATTACAATGTCTGCACTTATTAGAGGTTGATTATATTGGCCCAATAAACTTGATACATCAAAGACAATTCTCGGAATATGTGAAAACTAAAACAATAGTCTGATAATTTGGTTTTAGAAAATGTCGGAATGGGCGTGGAAAAAGCTGAGTTAATCTTTTTATTTAATTCTATTGGTTTATTAATCGAACTTGCAAATTTATTGCTTACCAGTAAAAGAACCAATCAAAATAAATTACTCTATAAAAAAAAAGTTAGAAATATTTATAACAGGATTTGGCGATTTCACCGTGGAATCGAGCTGATAAGTCAACCGTGTTCTTAAGCGTTGTGGTGTATCGATTAATGTCGAGCGGCATTGTTAGATCCAACCCCAATAGAGTTATTTTTTTCAATAAAGTATGCAGAGAAAACAAGAATATGAGGTTTGTTATATTTTTTAATCCAATGTTGCCTATTTGTAATGCAAATTTAGAACTCATATTTTTCGTTTCGGTTAAAACCCTAAACAACTATACACTAATTTAATTTTTCATTTGCCGAAGGACGTATGGTTTTGGCGGGCAAACTGGAGATCAAACAATAAATTTCCAGGTATTTGAGGTAGGCTAATTCAATATTCTATCATATCCTAATGTTCATAATTGATTTTCTATGTGATTAATTATTCAAATAATCATTATTGGGATGCACTATATCGACTCTAGCCAGTCCTGAATTGCCATGATTGTTTTGCCCCTGTTGTTCTCGGGACGCCATTTTGAAAAACTGACATGACCTACATACAACTGATTGTTATCCATTTTTCAGATTGCAGTAGATTTTAGCAATATAATGCAGCGATAGTGCAGTCTAATTGCTTTAAAAGGAAATCTGAATTTGGACAAAGACCAATAATAAAATCAAGGTGATTATTTTTCATGTATTTTCTTTATGAAGAGTACGTTAGCTATTTGTAAATGCACAGTCGTCTATTGTCAAAGTACGAGAAATAATAATTTAAACTTCAAATCAGTTATACTCATGATATCTTGTATTTATTCAAATCATACCACCAAGAATTGTATTTATCCAATTGAATAATAAAAACATGACTTTTATTATTTTATTTCTTCACGTCAAGAACATGGATAATTGGTAATGGCCTTGTATCACTTATCCAATAATAAAGTGAGAAATCGGGTTTAAAGTTCACTTGACACAAACTATGCCATACATGTATTAAATTGGTGGAATCAAGTAGGTCCATGCTAATTTTAATATATCCTACTCCTAGAACCAAGTCCGACGGTTCCGTTTCCGCCCTCTTTCCGAGGATTCTCATTCTATTAATATTATTACCATCTTTGTGTGTTGTGTTATATTAATGTTGCATAAACCTGGATTTGTTGTTGGTGTTTGTTGAATAGGTAATATATCTATTACTGGTGCTAGGTAATTTCTGAACTAACATTTAAGGTTCAATTTCATTTGAATGAAAACCCACGAGACAGGATAGGCGACCCTTTTCCAAGTCACATATTTGCATATAAAGAAAGTACAGACTTAAATATCCCTAGAAAAAAAATGGGCATGCACAGAGCAAAAATTTAAATTAAGGGTATCACAAATTGGCGGCCGAACTGTGACAGGGGTGCTACAGCCTACGAATTCCAACTACAAACCAAGGGGTCGATTACAATTTACATTTACGTGCAAGACAGTCACTGTGTACACGGGATCTCGCTTTTTTGTTCCCTCGAAACAACTAGGCAACTGCCTTGTCAGGCCCTCCACCCTGCGCCTCTAACAAGGGGAAACCATGCCAGAAAGTCTAGATGAGCTTTCTCGGTTGACACTGGCTAGCGAGCCATCGCCTTACTCACTCATTGGTGTTTTTAGAGGATTTGTTTGAAACAAACTTTTGATAGATATTTTAGTTTAAATTTCCTATCACACAGTTAGTATATTATTAGCAATTAATTACATGTCATGTATTTATTTTTTTCAGTTTCAATATTAGATGACATAGCAAATCACTCAGGAAAAGATCATACATGTGTATATTAAAATAAGTCAAAAAACATGATTTCTGCTCGGTGTTTTGGAGGGGTCAGTGTTCAATTCTAATAGAAAAGATTGTCATTATGGTATTTTAGAATCTCATCATTGGCATAATATATCCCGGTTGAGCTGATGTGACATAAAACTCAATTCCATTTCAGTTAAGTATAGTAAAACTCTGCATATACATGCACATGTATGTGCACGATGATGGTGGGTTTGCTCCCGATCTTGGCAGAGAAACTTCACTGGAATTTTCCGACATGGTATCTCCCTGTCAGTGGTGCAGGACGACATATGTCCAGTTGTTTGAATTCAACAAAAAACTAAGGCTGTTGGAATTCGATATAAGAGTAGGCCTTAACGCCACGGTACCGGGCAAAATATCCCTTAAAGCACATTGTATGACATATACCCATCTTCATTAGACAATTCGGAGCAGAGATGCAGGACGTTAAACCCCCATATTATTTTATTTTTTCATCTCATCTTTGACAAAGCAAAACAACACATCACACATAGGCCTACAATATAATTAAATTAACTGTCTAGTCAATTTAAGTCAACTAATACATGGTATGTTTTGTTTTTTCAGTTAACCACATTGGAAAGATCCAGACTGTTGGAAATAAATATTCTCGTGTAAACTTTTTCTCGCAGACCCTGATAATCAGGCAAAATGTAAGTACCATACGGGAACTGGCTCTATACACTTGGTAATCTAGTTGTCGGGTTGTCCCCGGCCTTTCGAAGAAAGCTGGGGACTATTAAAATGGGTTCGCCTGTCTGTCTAATTGAGCTAGAATGTTCAAACTTGGTGTAGGTGTGTTTTAGGTCAATACCTTGATGGAGTTCAAAGATGAGCATTTTCTGCTGAGGGCAAGCAGAAATAAGCAATTTGATTGGTTGATGCTTTGGGACACGATAATATTAGTTCTAATTAAGTGAGAGTGATGAAACTTGGTGTATAGTTTCATTACATCAATACCTTGACTAAGTTCGATAATGAACACTTTCTGCTTAGGTTAAGCAGAGTGATAAGCAATTTGATTGGCCGAGATTTTGGAACACAATAACTCTCCTTCTAATTGAGCTAAAATGTTCAAACTTGGTGTAGGTGTTTATTAGGTCAATGCCTTGACGGAGGTCGAAGATGGGCATTTTCTGCTTATGGTAAGCAGAGATACGTAATTTGATTGGTTGATGCTTTGGGACATGATAACTTTAGTTCTAATTTAAGTGAGAGTGATGAAACTCAGAATCTAGATTCATTATACTATTACCTTGACTAAATTTGATGGTGAGAATTT